CGACGTTGCTGACCCAGGATCTCACAACTCGGGTAGGATCCGATTCTGACTTCCTTACTCACATTGGGTATTGCCCTGTGGACAGGGTCTGGCACATTTTAGAGCTTCTCTGAACTGTCCCCAAAGTGATGAGCTTCCATGTGGGGTTTTTAAACAGTTTTGAGGTGATGGTCCATTTTAGTTTTCTAATTTTGAGTCTGTTTTCTTACTTTGTGCCTGTGGCCATGAGTAATGTGTGTACTGCACCAAGTCCGGAGCTGTTCCGGAGGGCATTGTGACCCTAGAGAAATCCGACTGACTCACCATTTCTTTCCTGCTTCCTCACAAGAGAGTAATTTAAAGCTGGCCTATACTACCCTATGAGTTACCAAGCATCATCTAGATCACCCCTGATAGAAGTTTGTCTAACCTGCTCTTAAATATCTCCAGTGATGGAGATTCTCCAACTTTCATAGGCAATTCATTCCAGTGTTTAACCACCCTGACAGTTAGGAAGTTATGACATACTAACCCTAGTCTCAACTCCTCTGGCCAGTAACTAGCAGGGAGGGAGTCAAGGTTCTGCACATTTCCCACTCAAACTACATCTTGCAGGGAGTCAAAACCCCAAAATAGTCCTGTGCTCCTTGACCCAAGATCTGGTAACACCAGTAGGGCTTTAAGAGATTTGGAGTTTCTTCTTACTCCCTTGTGTGGGCACGGAGTCTGACTCTGCATCTTGTCCTAGCTTTCCTCACTTTGACATCCTACCAATTATCCATCTCCAAATCTAGTGTCCTTACATATAAACACGGAAAGTATCCCCACATTTATGATTAATTTCAAAACTAATTGTCCATCTTGTCTGTCAACCTACAAAGCAAAACCTACCCCCAAAAGGCTTGGTCATATCAATAGGATGATTTAAACAATGAGTTCTCCTCCTCTTACATCCTGTTCACTGATGGAATCAGTGTTCTTCCATGTGTGTATTTGATTGCTATCGCAGAAGAGATTCTACAAAGGGGGAACAGTCTGGAATAATGTGCCAGTACTTCTCTGGAATCCTCATTAAAAAGAAATGTTTCCTGTCCTTAGGGGAAGAAAACCTGCTTTAGGTCATGTTTAGTACACGTGGTTTCTATAGTGCTATTAAGGCTGCTTATGGGCCAGCTTGTCATGGCATGAACCCCCTTCACTCAAAGGATGGAACCACACTTTTGAAGAACAATGAAGCCATTAATTTTCACTGGAAAGGACATTTTGAAGATCTTCTTAATCGTAACTCCATGGGTGCAGATGAAGTGCTTGAGCAAATCCCCCAACAACCTTCTAGGGATGAGCTCAGAGACCCTCCCATTTTTTGGAGGTATACAATGCCATCAAGCAGATGAAGATCAACAAGGCAACAGGTCCAGATGGGATCCCCACCAAAATCTTTAAAGATGGTGGACCAGAGTTAATTTGGCAGCTTAGCCTGCTTATCCTTAAAATCTGGATAAAGGAGGAGATACCCTGTGGAATGAGAGATGCCTTGATTGTTACCCTCTTTAAGAATGGGGATAAAGTGGACTGTGGAAGCTATCATGGGATCTCTTTCCTTGCTGTTGCAGGCAACGTTCTGGCATTTGCAGGCAACGTTCTGGCATGGGTCCTTGCAATCCATCTTCTGCGCCCTTGTCAGAAGAAATGTATTAGAGTCACAGAGTGGCTTTCAGCCATGTTGCGGAGCTGCGGAGAGGATCTTCATTGCATAGCAGCTGCAAGAGAAGTGTCAGGAGCAAAACCGACCACTGTACATGTCTTGTATTGATCTAACTAAAGCCTCTGACTCAGTGACTCACCGTGCCCTTTGGACTATACTTTCAAAGATTGGATGTTCCAATGAATACATCAATGTCCTAATGTTGCTTCATGACAACATGAAAGCGACTGTTCTGAGCAGCACTGGCTCCCAGAGTGAACCTTTCAAAGTACAAACAGGAGTCAAACAGGGCTGTATCATCGCCCCAACCATGTCTGCAGAATTTATTGCCATCATTTTCGACCTAATTGCTGGGAAGCTCCTAGCTGGTGTTGAAATCATCTACAGAATTGATGGAAAACTGTTTAGCCTTAGCAGGCTGAAAGCTAAGAGTAAGATTTCCACCATATCTATCATGGAACTTCAGTATGCTGATGACGATGCAGTTTTTGCCCACTTTGAGAAAGATCTTCAGGCTATCTTGAATGTGTTTGCTGATGCTTATGCATGTCTTGGTCTCCCCCTCAACATCTAGAAAACCGAAGCACTCCATCAGCCCTCTCCAATTGAGGTACCATAGGCCCTATCTATTAAAATCAATAGAAGGCACTGGAGAATGTACATCCTTTTCTCTGCCTTGGAAGTTATCTTTCATCCAAGGCAGATATTGATGTAGAAATCCAACATCATCTGAGCTGTGCCACTGCAGCCTTTGCTCGTTTACGGCACAGGGTTTGTGAAGATCATGATATTCAAACAGACACCAAACTTCTTGGTCATTCTCCCAACACTACTGTACGGGTTTGAAACCTGGACAACTCATAGACATCACTTGGAAGTCCTTCAGAGGTATCACCAACGCTGCCTCCACAAGATCTTAAAAGACCAAATGGGAAGACAGGCACACTAACATCAGTGTTCTGGAAGAGGCAAAGACCACCAGTATTAAGACAATGATCATCCATCAGCAACTTCGCTGGACTGGTCACCTTGTTTGGATGCCAGACCATCGCCTCCCAAAACAGGTCCTGTTTTCTCAGCTGAAAGAAGGACACCGTAACATGGGAGGACAACGGAAGCATTATAAGGACTTGCTAAAAGATAACTTAAAGAAGTGCCGCATTGACTTTGATACTTGGGAGACACTCATCTGGGATCGCTCAAAATATAAACCAGTCCCATGCAATGGCCCCCTGCATTTTGAATTTTCCCACCAAAATGCTGAAGAGGAGAAGACGCACAGGAGGAAGGAGAGATTGGCTTCTAGTCATGGTCAACAGCCTCCTGCTGTAGCTCTGGATCAGCTGGGGAGTTCCCAACTGATCCCGGGTTCTGTGGAAATGCCACGCGGAGCCCGGGGTCATCCCAGGGTCCATGTGGCACTGCCGCTTTGAAATGCTAAGCAGAGCCCAGGATCAGTTAGGGAGTCCCCAGTTGACCCCTGGCTCCACGTGGCACTGCCGCTTTGAAATGCTGCAGCAGCATTTCAAAGGGGCAGCGCCACATAGAACCTGGGGTCAGCTCCGTGTGGTCCTGCCACTTTGAAGTACCCTTTCTTCCCCCTCTGTTTGCTGTCTCTGATAGAGGCAGCAAGGGGAGGGGAATCAACTAGTCGACTCAACTATCTGATAAGCATTTGCTTATCAGATAGACAACTAGTCCTTAACATCCTTAGTGTTAACTCTGGAGCTCAGTGATTACTATTTAAGTGGCAACATTGTTATATCATATCAGTACTGATTGCATTATCTTCTCCTGCTGCTCTGAGACTGTGAGTGGTGGCAAAAATTTAGGGAGAAATATGCCATTACAGTCTAGCTCCTGCACGGCATACTTTATGGCAGATTTTACTTGGCAGATTTTACCATTCTGATGATCAGGGTTGGGACCTGGGGCTGATAGATTCTGTAGGGCTCCCTAGGCTCTGGACTGGCGTAAAAAATTAGGGGATTGAGGTGCTGGAGGAGGCTATGGGTTGAGGCAGGAGGGTGGTGCAATGCAGGAGTGGGTGAAGGCTTTGACTGGGGGTTTGGACTCACAGATGGGGCTGGAAATGAGGCATTTAGGGTGCAGAGGTTCAGAAAAGGGCAACAAAAATGATTAGGGGTTTGGAATGGGTACCATATGAAGAGAGATTAAAAAGACTTGGACTTTTCAGCTTAGTCTCCTCTTTTCTAAGGGGGGATATGATAGAGGTATATAAAATCATGAGTGGTGTGGAAAGAGTAAGGAAACGTTATTCCCACAATTTAAAATCTAGGGGTCACCAAATGAAATTAATAGGCAGCAGGTTTAAAACAAACAAAAGGAAGTTTTTCTTCACTCAGTGCACAGTCAACCTGTGGAACTCCTTGCCAGAGGATGTGGTGAACACTAGGACTTTAACAGGATTCAAAAAAGAGCTGGATAGATTTACAGAGGTTAGGTCCATGAAAGGCTATTAGCCAGGATAAGTAGGAATGGTGTCCCAAGCCTGTTTGTCTGGATATGGCTGACAGGAGAGGGATCACATGAGGATCGCCTATTGTGTTCCCTCCCTCTGGGGCATCTGGTATTGGCTCCTCTCGGCAGACAGGACGCTGGGCTAGATGGACGTTTGATCTGACCCTGTATAGCCTCTCTTATGTTCAGACGGCTCCAGACAGTTTGGGGGAAGAGAGAAATGGCAGTGGGCAGAACCGCCTCTTATCCCTCTCCCCTGCCAAGCAGAGCTGGCCCAGAATGCAACACACACAGGCTTTAATGGCTGCAACCCAGGGACCCCCTCTTAACCCAGGACTCTGGGCTACAGCCCCTAAAGCCCTTTGCACAATCCAGCCCTGCCAGTGAGGGCTGTTGAAGTCTGGCTGTAAGCGTGCCGAATGATTTCTTCTCTTTGTTTTCCAGCTGGTGGGCTTCGTCTATGCCTGTTACGTTGTGAGTGTCTTTACAGAAGAAGAGGACAGCTGTAAGTATTCATCAGCAGATTCCTTGGCAACGGTTTTTGTGAAAAATTCTCTCTCAAAAATGTTGTCCCATGAGCTAGTGCCATAGGCCGTCAGTCAGTGAATGAGGGAGAGAAAGGTCAGGAGAAGAGAGGAAACGTTTTCTTATCCATCTCACCACAAAAACGGCATCACTGCAACACCTTTCTGACAAGGCCAGATTTACAGTGAGATCCTCTCCTCTTGAACCCCCACAATCTTCTTCTCTCGCTCTGTTAGCACAGTGGTTTGGCTTTGTTCACTGTTCACACTGGAGACAGAAACAGTGGAGTGGATTCCCCTGTTACACTGCTATTGATCAGCAATAATGCCATGGATAGCGGTAGAGTATCAACAGCATAAAGTCAGTGTACATGAATGGAGAATCAAGTTCAGGAAGGTTGTGCCCTGTGTACATTGCGATATAATCTCAGGACAAAGTAGAAGGGAAGAGTACTTACAAATAACCGAAATGAGCATTTAATTTGCAAAGCAGAGGTGGCCCTGCACTTGGATTATAGAAAAGACAATTCTCTTGGTGCATGATTATCAGTTCTCTTAGGTATTTAGGGTTCCATTTTACAGTGCCAAAAGAAAAAAAAAAAAAAAAAAGGCAGAAAGCCAACCAAAAGCCATTCTGATTATAAGGTCAGCTGGGTTTATCCACCTGCCTACATGTAGCCTTTTCCTGCATTTCTTTGCACTTCCAAAACGCCTCTTGAACCACATTGTTTTAGGCACATAAAGACTGGGTTTGATTCTGAATAGCCACATGGGATGTTCTCTTTAGAAGCATGTTTCTTTGGGTTGAATTTAAGAGACAGATCATCAGCTTATGTGAGTCAGCATCATTGTGTTCAAGTCAATGAACCTACACCAATTTACTTCAGCTGGGGATTGGACCCAAGGCTTTATATAACCAGTATTACTTCTTTGAGGTGTCTAGTCCTTCAAATTAGTGTAAAAAGCTTGATCCTTTAAAAACTGGCCACCAGAGATGGTTGCTGAAAAATGATGAATTTGAATTAGATTTTAGAAGGTAAGGCCACATCTTCACTTCCCAGATAATTGATGTTGCAGCGGTCGATCTTTTGGCATTCTATTTAGCAGGTCTAGTAAAGACTCAGTAAATCAAATGCTGAGGGTGCCCCTGTCAACACCAGAACTCCTACTCCTTGTGAGGAGTAAGGGAAGTTGATGGGAACATTTCTCCCATCAACCTCCCACTGTGAGGACAGTGCTGAAGCTCAGCTTAAGGTCCATTTACTCTAGCTATATTTGTTACGTAGCTAGAATTGCGTTTAAGCCAAACTTTGGCTGCAGTGTGGACCGGCCTAAGTGAGAAAGTTTATTTCAAATGGGGCTAATGAGATATACAACAAGTCTAGTTTACCCTCTCTATTTCTCTCTTGCTTCCTGTGTGGCTGTACTGACCACAGAGGCTTTACTGATTACTTGCTAGACTAGCCGTAACAAAGGCATGTATTATAAGTAATGAAAAACAAGGTTTGCTCCCTCTTTGTCCCTCTCTCATCAAGAATCTCATCTGTATGTTTTACCCTATGGGTTTTACAGTTGATGTTACTTTAAATACTATTTTTAAAAACATCACCAGAACTTGTTTAAATACAATGGTTTTATCATCAGAAGCCATTACCAGTAGAATGAATTACTGAGACACATACTGCTGTGAATTTCAGAATTTTAAAAATTCTGCTCCATCTCATTTTCTCAGGTTCAGAGTTGAAATGCCAGCTTGAATAATTAACAATGACACACCATCAATATTTCACAGTCTCAGCAGTCGGTCCTTCCAGTGACCTGAACTAATTTGAGCTGTGTTTTAATTTTCTCTTCCATTTGTGGGTTCTTTTAAATGTACCTTTGATATGCGGCATGAAGTAATTAGAAGTGCTAAGACCCATTAATCAGGAGACCAATGCTAACGTGATTTTCATGAGGAAGCACAGAAATGGGACCCACTAACACTGGATTGTTGGCAAGATGTTTTAGATGTGCTCACGCACCGTAATATATGGATGGTAACACCAGTGAACCATGGTCAGGGTTTAATGGAGAGATTAGGATTTAGGGTGCCTTCGTTGTTAGATGCCCAGTTTGGGAACATTTATTTTCAAGGAGCAGGTGATAGGGATAGTCAGAAAAACAGGCCTCTTTAACATCCCTGGAGTAGGACACCCAAAACCAAAAGCAACCTAAACCACCAGTCACTTCCAAAAAATCAGCCAATTATCTGGGAACATTTTTAAAAGCACCTAAATCATCTTTTTCAAAAGTGACTTAGGGTGTGTCTAGACTACATCCCTTTGTCACCAGAGGGATGTAAATTAGACATACTGACATTTAAATCCCCACTTCATTTGCAATCTCCCACGCTTCATTTGAATAAAAGTGGCCACCGCGTTTTCCGAGTCAGCAGTTTGTCGGCAAAAAGTGGCTGTCAAGACGGGGATCGAGTGACAAAGAAAGCCTTTGTCGGCCGATCCTGTAAACCTTGTTTTACAAGGTATAAGGTAGAGGCTAAATTTTTAAAGGTATTTTGAAATCAGTGGGAGTTAGGAATCTAAGTTTCTTTAAAATCTGTCCCTAGGATCCTAAGCTTCATTGTGACAGGCCCATTGAGAGGAGGGACAAAGGGGAGAGTTGCCTAAGGGCCCCGACAATTCAAAGGGGCCCAGGGCTCCCAGCCACTGCTGCTGCTACCACAGGAGCAGTGCTGGCCGGAGCCCTAGACCCTTTAAATTGCCACCTCTGCATGCTCCATGTGACTCTAAGGCCCCTTCCGACTGAGACTCTGCCCCTTCTGGGAGCACGGTGCTGCCCCCCACACCTTGCCCAGGGACCCACAGAGGCTGTTGGGTCCCCTGCGTTGGGATTAAGGTCCTAATTTGCATACGTGCTTTTGAAAATTTTACTTATATTCTGCTCTTCCAAGTTACACAACAGCAGTTTCTTGCTGTTGGTCAGAACAAAGATTTGGATGGCTGCTGAGAATTCAATGTCTAAATACCTTGAAACATTTTTGCAATGTTTCTCGTGCTTCTCTTTCTATTTTAGGGTATGTGTTGACAAAATGTTTAATAAAATTACCAACACCCTTTAAAAATATGTGACTGACGTGTAAAAGAACAGTGCCACCTTTAGGAAAGAAATTGAATGGTTGTATGGTTAATGCAACTCTCTAGAGGTATATTTTTTATAAATGTTTGGAAGGGGTATAAACTTTCTTATGTTACGCATCAACCACATTTTGAACTGATGGCATTTAAGAAGAAACTTTCTTTATGGAGAAAATATTCTATAACTTCCTTTACTACTTAGTACTTCTAGTCACTGTAGGAGATCAGACTGGGATCAGATGTGGACTGGGTGAGCATATTTCTGATTCAGTCTGTCAGTCCCTATAATAATTTTCTTTAAGTTGAACACCTACAAGATGTTCTAGATAGAAATGTCAGAGTTAGATGCCCAAGAGAGTTAGATGCCCAAGCTCCGATTTAACTCCCATAGATTCCTTTGAAAATCCCAATCTTAATTTTAAAATATGTTGTTGGATCCATGTATCATAACACGATATCACAATTAACTTTAGAAGAACCCTGAGAGAATCTTCCAGTCAGATCATCTGGCAACTCCGATAATGGGCAACAGGGGAATGGTGCCATAAAAATACCCTTAACTAGTTACATTGACTCAGAGGGCTCCCTGCGTTAGTCTGGATCTGCAAAAACAATAAAGAGCCCAGTAGTGCCTGAGACACTAACAGATTTATTAGGGAAAGCTTATGCCCTTATAAATCTGTTAGTCTAAGGTGCCACAGGACTTCTCGCTTTTTTGTAGTTATGTTGTCATTATCTGAGCACTGGGGAAAGGTAGTATTTTAAATAAATACTTTTATGGATTTAAAAAAATCAAATTAAATCTGAAAACCACCAGGTCAGGGGGGATTGGAGAGGGTTTTAATAAACCAGTTGCTGCTGTCACCGTCTTGTTGTCTTACAAGCAAGCAAACCGTCCTTGGTAGACAACCTTCAGAAGTACTGCTTGCTACCCGCTTCCCTGCAGACATCCACTCCCTTACCGTCGCTCAGAGTCTTTCAGCAGCTGGAGTTCACACACTGAACGGTTTCTCCAGGGCCAGCCCACAACATTTTGGCACCTGAGGTGGGGAGCTCAAATGACGCGCCCATGCCTCCTTTTCTCCTGCCTGCCAGTTATGTCTCGTGCCCTCCTTCCTCCAGCACCGCACTCCACCATCTCTATGCATCTAGAGCAGAGAGATTACATATGCATCAGCAGCAGACAATTTTCTACACTCTGGGTCCTAGTGGCGCCCCCCCCCCCACAATCTGGCACCTGAGGTGGCCGCCTCAATTCGCCTCATGGTATGGCCAGCCCTGAGTTTCTCCAAGAGGTCTAGGTTGGGTGATCTGTATAGGCAGGGTTTTCCAGTCTGTGTTAGGTCCCATGGATGTAAATAAGTGCCCAACGCAGGGCTGTGGATAATCATCTTTCTGTTCTTCGCACCATTTTATGTTAAGACATGCCATGCACCCGCTTTCCTGTCGCCATCCCTGCCATATTTATTTATTTATTATTATTTGGGTTTTGATTTCTTTCAGTTGATTTCATTGGTGGATTTGATCCATTTCCTCTCTACCATGTCAATGAAAAACCCACCAACCTTTTGTGCAAGCAGACGTACCTGTAAGTATTGGCCCCCGGGCTAAGAAACCTGTGGTACCTCTCAGCTCGGTGGCCCAAGGCTGCTCCCTTTACTCTCTAATAGGTGGACTTCTCCAGCAGGGTTCTCTTGTCAGGGTTTGATGCTTCACAGAGGTGGGTTCCTGGGAGGGGTGAAGTCAATTCATTTCAGCCTCAGGGCATGGTTGGGCTCCAGATGTGGATGCTAATGCTGCCGTCCTTAGTGTCTAACATGGCGTCCTTACGGCCTCTCATTATGGAGTAAGTTCTAGTCCCTCGTGCTAAGCTTCAGCCAGAGAGCTTTGTGCAATGTAAACATAAGCCTGCAGGGGAAGGAGGGCACAGAATCCTCCCCTCCACTCACGTGGCAGCAACGTAGGGAGCTATTAAAGCTACATCTCAGCTCCATGCTCAGCCAGTCATAGCATAGAGTTTGAGTCTATTCCAGCGGTGTGGTTCTACTCCAGGCCTTTGCCAACCCTCCTCTGCTCTCCCATGGAGTGAACAGCCTGGGACGCAAAGGCTGGAATGTTCTCCTCTTCACTTCTCAGCCACCCCATGCAGAGGAAAGTTGGCGTTTTCGCCACACTGTGGGTGTTTTCTGGTTTAGGTTTGACCCAATCATTTTGCTGGAATCAGAGCCATCCCGCGGAGGATGCTGGGCCCAGGAGGTAGACATTGAGGGTGTGTCTAGACTACATGGCCCCGTCAACAGAGCCATGTGACGTAGTTCACCCCACATAGTCAATGAAGTGAGGATTTAAATGACTTAAATAATCCCCGCTTCATTAAAATAAAAATGGCCACCACGCTGTGCCAACAATCAGTCTAGACGTGGCGCAGTCGACAAAGGAAGCCTTTGTCGACCGCTCCTGTAAACCTCGTTTTACGAGGCATAAGGGAGTGGTCAACAAAGGCTTCCCTTATCGACCAATCCATGTCTGGACTGCCATGTTGTGCTGGATCAGCTGATTGTCGGCACAGCGTGGGGGCCATTTTTATTTTAATGAAGTGGGGATTATTTAAATTTAAATCCCCGCTTCATTGACTATGTGGGGTAAACTACTTTACATAGCTCTGTCGACGGAGCCATGTAGTCTAGACACATCCTGAGTTTCTAATCTGCCAGAGGCTCTTCCCAGGCCTTGCCCTCACTCCAACCCTTTCCACCAAGGCCCCACCTCTTCCCACCCCTGCTCAACCTCTTCCCACCCACTTCTGCCCCCTCCCCCAAGTACGCTGTGCCCTCGCTCCTTTTTCTTCTCTCCCCAGCACCTCCTGACACTGCAAAACATCTGATCTGTGATAAATAGGAGGTGCTGAGAGGGAGTGGGAGTTGCTGATAGGTGGGGCCCACTGTCAGGCAGGAGGTGCTGAGGGGAAGGGGGCAGGTCTGGTAGGGAGGCCTCCAGTGGATGCGCCAGCCCTTGAACACAGGACTCTCTAAAGCACAGAGACATGGGCAGTTGCCCCGCTTCCCCATATCCAAGGGGCAGCGCTGGCTGGAATTCGGTTTCCCATAGAAACAGTGGGTTACAGCCCTTGTAGGAGGTGTCATGACTCCTTCCCCACTCTGGCATGATAAATGCAGAAGTGGGGGCCAGCAAGTGTACCCCAAAGCCTTATCTACCAGGCTTTGGTATAAAACTTCCCCCCAAGATCTTAAAAACCTAGATCTTGGGAATAAAACTTCCGCTGCCGCCACCCAAATGTTGCTAAAGAAACCAGGGGAAAGATCATTTGGGAAATCTTCCCCCTAAAACAAAAATCAGGGCACACCATTAACCACTGCCAGGTTAAGAAAAGAAAAGAAAGAACTTTTATTATTACAACAATATTCTGGTTGCAAGTATAATGACTGGAGAGGAAGGTAACAAAATATACTCATGGAGAAACTCCATGGGCCTAGAACTTAGTTACAAAGAAAAGCCAAAACATCTTTTAAGCAGTGCCAGATCTCAGATCCCATACCCAATCCATAACACAATAAAACCTAACGAAACTGCCTAAACTTTACCCTACTTACAGAAAATGAAGAATGGTGTCTTGGAGAGAGACAGACATGCTTGTCCCTCTCTGTAGCTGCAGAGAACTCTCTGAGAGACAAAAGGAAGAGAAGAAAAAAAAACCCAAATTCCTTTGTCCCAGTTTGAAGAGTCCCACCTACATTCCTATTGGTCACTCCACCTGGCTAGGTGTAGTTAACCCCTTAATCCCCAGGCTGCTGGCTAACCCTCATAATCATGACAGGAGGGTGCAGGCAAAAGACAGTCACTTCACAACCGTCCCCCTCGCACTCCAAACACGGCTCCATCTTTAAATTCTGACAACCCTCCTTTTGTTACTCATTGCACAAGAGCTATCGTGTGGCCCGCGTGAGAGCTGCTGCGTAGTTAGATACTTTAAGTGTAAGGCCCGTAAGATCTGTGCTTAGCAGCAAGAGGCATTGAATTCCTGTTACTCTCTTCACAAAACCCGCAGAAGAGCACCACAACGTGCAGGACCTCTGAAGGGAGAATGATTTTAAAGTCTAATGCTACAGCTGAGTTCTTCCAAAAAACGTCAGGTGGGGGAGGGAGAGGTGGTGCTGGAAGGGGAAAACTGACCTTACACTGGATCTGGGCAGATTGCCTCAAAATGCCTACGCGGAGGCGCACACAGCTCACGGTCACTGCAGCGCTAGCCAGAAGAACAGGGGAGTTTTGAAAAGAAGTCCAATTTCTCATACACTAAGGGGCTGACCGATCTTATTAGGAAGACTGGTGCGGGAGGATTACATATCGATTTTCCCCTCTCGCTTTGTCATGGTGGGATGGGATTTTCCTGTAGCTGTGGAAGCTGCAGGGTTCTTGGGCACCTCCTTGATTTATGGGCCTGGTGCAGTGGAAAAAACTGCATTTTAGCCCCCTCCCCCCCCAAAAAAAGGAGAGAGACGAGGCTGCTTTTCTCTTAATAGTAGTTGTATGTTATGTGGATGGAAGACTCCACTTATCAATGTCAGCTTCTTTCACAAGCCAGAGCAGCCTGGAGAGTGTCAGGGTAAGTTTCGATCCCACACCCCACCAGTGCAGAAAGCCCCTGTTAAGCTCCACCGCTATGTCTACACTGGCGGCTTCTTGTGCCAGAACATGCCCACACTGTCGTGTACTTTTGCGCAAGAGCGCCCATGGCAGTGTCTACACTCCCTTGCGCAAGAAAGCTCTGATGGCATGTGGCGGGCCCCTCTTGCCCGTCCCCTTTAAGCCTAAGGCCCCCCGGCCTGAGGCCACAACACAGTTTATAGCTGGCCCTTTAAGCAAGGGCAAGGCCCTCCAGCCTGAGTCCACAATGCAGTCTGCAGGGTAGTCACGGGGATACAACCCCAGGTAGGGGGACCCAAGCCCACCCTACTCCACCGGGTCCCGGCCCAGGGCCCTGTGAGCGACTGGGTAGCGGGTCACTCCCTCGGCAGGGCAATCCAACTGAAATGTGTCAAGGTTCGCAGGGTGGCTCCCGCTCCTGCCCTGGGCCACTTCCTACCTGGGTCCCCGGGGCTTCTTCCCCTGTACTTGCCCGGCTTGCGGCAGCCTCTGGGCTGGCATCTCCTCGGCAGACAGTCCCCGGGTCGCACCAGCTCGCTTCCGCGTCCCCTCCGGCCTCTCCTGGAGGCCTTCACCACCACTGTGCAGGAGCCTCCTTCTTAGCCCCTTTGCCTCCAGCTGTCTTCCCTAACTGAGGCCTTCCCCTGGCTTTTATAGTAGAGCTACAGCCTGGGCATGCCCGGTAGGGCTGCGGGGGAGGGGCCTCTGTAGCTAGGTAACCCTGGCTGGGCCTTGCTAGTTCAGGGCGGGGCTGCCTTGCCCCATCACATGGCCATTTTAGCCATAGGGCTTTCTTCCACAAGAAACCCCTGCCGCGTGTCCCCACTGCCCTCTTGTGCAAGAGAGTTTACACTTGTTAGAAAAGAGCGTAGCTCTTGTGCAAGAATCCCTCTCTTACCACGCTTTACTGTAAATCTTGCACAAGAGCGGGCGGGCGGTGTGGACGCTCGGCAGAAGAACAGCAGTTTTTGTGCAAAAACCCACCAGTGTAGACATAGCCCTAGAGTAATACAGTCACCATTCAATCTTCGGTCCATGATCCTCATGCTAACTGTACACAAGGGTACTTTGCTGTTTCATTGGGGAGGGGGAGGGGTGCAGTGAGCGGCCAAGCACTGGGCAGACGGCACCCATATATTTCACAGTAGCCACCACATTGCAATAACTTTTGCTCACTACCATTTTGGGCTCTTACCCTTCTGCCACGCACACCTAGCAGGAGTGGGTGGGGGAGAAGCAGCAAAGGAGAAAAAAAATCTGTATAATGATGCCAGAGCATCCTGTGGACTGGGAGCAATGGGATGCAAAGCCTCACTATTGCGTTCTTCTCCAGGGGCAGCCATATCTTTCTAATGATTCTGTAATAATTGAGTAGGTTCTTAGTCGCTGTTCAGGTCTCTCATAACTTGCATTGAATGGGGCACATCAGTAAATGCTTCTGCCTTCCTCCACAGTTCGGCTACATCTACACTGCAGGCTTCCTGCGCAAGAACCATTTTGCGCAAGAGTTCTTGTGCAAAAGGTCTTCCACAAGAGCGTGTCCACACTGCCACGTGCTTTTGCACAAGAGATGTGCTTTTGCGAAACAGTTCTTGCGCAAGAAACCTGCAGTGTAGACATAGCCTAGTTGTTTAATTCTCTGTTTCAAAACCCCACTGTCAAACTGCATTATTGCTTAATAAGGCAATTTTAAATATGTTTTGTTAGCCTCTTTGCCACACATACCCATCAACAAGTCTTTATAAATACATGCAGGTTTCAAGTCTTTCTATTTCAATCTGATTTAACACTAAGGATTATTGTGATGGGTGGCTTTTAAACTCCTGCTTCTGAATCCAAACTGAGTCAAACGAGTGTGGGAAAAAAATATTGTAACGCTTTCCTGTGAAAGTCAGTTGCTCTTACTCAATGTAATTGCTGCTTGCCACTGAAAGGACTGAACTAATTGTTCGCCTGAATACTAATATTTTAAGGAATGTGGCTACCAGGCATGTTAGCAGGGTTTTCAGTGTATGAGCATTTGGGTCAAAATATTAAAGAGTGGGGTAACAAAGGAGTTATTGAAAACTAAAAGCAACTCTCTCCCCGGCCTGAGTCAGAGAGCATTCCCACCCTAATAAGATTTCACAAGTGAGGCTTAAAGGCTTAAAGTCTGCCCATGCCTCCTTGCAAGACTGTCTTCTTTGTGCCCACTGTGGAGAGGCTGCTCCACACCGGGCACTGTGGCCACTTCAAAGCACTATTCCGTAAGGTCGGTAACCTGAAACAATTCTTACCCCGTGGAACATGTGATGCTTCTTGTGATGAGGCTGATCAAGCTTCTCTGACAACTGCTAATATACACATAAAAACATTATGGCTAGGTGACTCGTGGTAGCACTTGGAAGGCGCACTGCCCACACCCCACCCACAGGCCCACCGGCAGCAGCACTGGTGGCAGCTGGAGCACCAAGCCCTTTAAATCACCACTGGAGTGTCACATGGTGCACTCCAGGTGGCTCTGAGGGCTGGCTGCCCAAGTCCCATCCCTTCCTCCCAAGGGCCAGCCCCTTCTGGGAGCATGGAGCTAGTCCCCCCCCCCCCCCCCCCCCCCCTGTCCCGGCGCAATACCACCCATGCCCTTTCCCCCACACCTTCTACCAAAATTTTAATTGCTAAATGGGGTGTCTCCACATGCTCTCTTCCTGCCCCTCTGTGTGGCCCTCCCTGCACCCCCTTCTCCCAGCTGCCACTAGTGGCCCCTGCCACTAAGAGCTCAAGAAGCTATGTGATCCTCCTAGATGTGGACCTCATTGTGACATATTGACATCACTTCAAACGTATTGGCTGCATCTTGATGGGCATGATTTTCCGGAAATGCTTCTAACGGAAAAGTTTTCCGTTAAAAGCATTTTCAGGACAGAGCATCTAGATTGGCACAGACGCTTTTCTGCAAAAAGTGCTTTTGCGGAAAAGCGTCCGTGCCAATCTAGACGCGCTTTTCCACAAAAAAGCCCCAATCGCCATTTTCGTGATCGGGGCTTTTTTGCGCAAAACAAATCTCAGCTGTTTACTCTGGCTCAAAGGGACTTTTGCCTGAACGGGAGCAGAATAGTATTTCCGCAAGAAGCACTGATTTCTTACAGTAGGAAGTCAGTGCTTTTGTAGAAATTCAAGCGGCCAGTGTAGACAGCTGGCAAGTTTTTCCGGAAAAGTGGCTGATTTTTCAGAAAAACTGGCCAGTCTAGACACAGCTGTTGTGTCAGAGCTAGTCCATTTTCCTTTGTTTGAGAGAGACCATCCTTAGCCTTCGAGTTTGGGAGATTTCCAAGTGGAACTGCTGCTGAGCCCCTAATCTTAGATCAAAATGATCTCAAAGTCATTTTACATCATTTTGGTGTCAGGAACTGCTCCCACTGTGGACTGGAACTGGGCCTGGGTTTCCACAAGAAGAGATTCACACACACTGGGAAACCCATCTACAAATCTGGTCTGAGTTTGCCTGGGTCCATGGCATGTTTCCACCTGCTTTTAGGTTTCAGTTCAGAGCACTCAGCCCAGGTTTATTAACTTTTTTTGTAGCGTAAGAAATTAAATACATTATTTTTCACTATTTGTCATCTGCTTTGTTACTAAAGGTTACCTTCTTCAAATCTAAACACAACCAAGCAATCCATACTGTGTGAAGTCTGGCTGTTAGGCAGCAGCTGGTTGCTTGGAGTGAGGCAGCTGGTCCTTTCACACGTGGAGGGACAGGAATACTTTGCCTCTCTCTGCCTCCCAGTGGGTACTTTTAGAGGTAGCCCCTTCAGCAAAACAATGAGGAGGCCAGAATCACCTTGAAGGCTAACAATTTTATTATGGCATAAGCTTCTGTGAATTGCAACTCACTTCATCAAAGCATGAAGTGAAAGAAAAAGAAACAGACTGTAGGGATACAGAGATGGGAGTGTTACATTAGAGCTAAATCAACCAGGATGGCTGTGGATAAGGTCAGAATACCTAAAGTGGAAAATTTCTACGGGAACTGGTAATTTTCTGCTTTAGATATTCTCACCTTCTTATCCACATCCACCATGATTGAATTAGCTCTAATGTAACACTCCCCTCTATCTCCCTACTATCTGAAATAAAAGACAGAACGATGTAGCACTTTAAAGACTGATTCTTTTTCTTTCACTTCATGCATCTGATGAAGTTGCAACTCATGAAAGCTTATACCGTAATAAAATCGTTAGTCTTTAAGCTGCTAGAGGACTTGTCCTTTTACTCTTAGTGCTTTCTAATCAATCCCATTGTGCTTCAGACAGTTCTCTAATATTGAGCATGGCCACGTGAATCCTGACACCCCAGGCAGCTGCCCGTATGCAGCATGTGAGGACTAAGTGATGAGAATAGAATCCATAAAATGTAGGTGGGCTCCCCGAGTTAAAACAGCCCCGTACTGAGTGACCGTAGTACCCGATCCAAACATAAGCCGTTCTGCCTTATCCCAGCTGCAGAAAAAAGGCAGCCAACTCATCACAACCTCAGAAGACCTTTTCGATTAGTGATAAAGTGAAAACACAGGTCCAGTTTCTAAAAACACTAGCGTTGCCAAGAGTATTTGGATCGGCCCCTTTGGTTCAGGCCCCTGTTTAAGTGCACATAAAATCTGGATTCAGTCAGGTAACATTCTGTCTAACTCTTAAAGGACTAACTTCCTTAACCATGCTGGGATCTAGGAGGAAGTGCAATTATGATCAGCTCTGGGCTAAAACATTTAAAAAAAAATCAAGTTAGGACCTTTTTTTTTTTTTTTTTTTTTAAATCATTGTACCATATAGCTGCTGGTTGCTGCCTCTCCAGTGAGTTTTGCAGCAGAAGTTTCTTCAGGCTTAATTTTTGCATTTTCTGCCTCAGCTACGTGCATATTTTTTCCCTTGCCGTACCAGTGTAACTAACATTTCACAAACGCAATTCATGCCATTGAAAAATCAGGTGAGCTTTAGAGTCTAGCTCCAGAGGAAATAGTACTAGCATTTCATGTTCCCTCCTCTGAGCATGCAAAGTTCATGATTCCCTGTTCTGTTCATTCCTTCTGGGGTACCTGGCATTGACCACTGTCAGAAGACAGGATATTAGAGGGGATGGAATTTTGGTCTGAGCCAGTATGGCCATTTTTAGAGTCCCGTAGCCAAATTTCCAAAGGTATTTAGGCACCTGAAGATGCACAAAGGCATGGGGTGGGATTTTCAGACATGCTTAGGAAGCTAAAGCCCAATAGCAGGAATTAGGTGCTACCAGATTTTGAAAATCCCACTTGGAGCCTATTTGCCTCATTGGGTGTCTAAGTCTCTCAAACACTGGCCCCCTACTAGTAGAGATTGATTTTCAGAGCTTGCAAGTTCCATAGGGGGATCATTCAGTTTGCATTCAACTGGCCATGAACTGCTGCAGAACTCATCCATGTATAGGGTGCATCATGGGAGAACAAAAATTGTTTTGCTCATATTAGTTCAATACCATTTAAATGGATTTATGCAGACTATTTCACCTTTGCCTTTTAAGCTGATAGATTTCCCTTTCTCCCCAGGCCTGCATAAGTAAGGAAGAGCCACCTTACACCTAGCAATCAAAGGCGCTGCAAGAAAAGAAGCCGTCCTCAGCCTGGATCTGTGGCAGAGGAAACACCTTTTTTTAAAAAAAAAAAAAAAAAATTTTTACACTATGAATGTACGTTGATGAATGGCCACTAGGTTTTTTTTCATTTTGTGAGTGTCCTGATGAACTGTTAGTCCCACGGCCTAGCCTTACTGACCCATGGATGGGACAGTCTTGTCTGAGATGAGCAAATCCACGGGGAGCCCTCGAGTATCTCTTGAGCATGGGAGCTGAACTGCTTTCCACGATGGAATAAAGCTATAAAGAATAAAGTCCTGCTGATCCCAGTGGTTCAGGTTTCAACAGTTTTGTAATTTACTACTTTTTTTAAAAAATGGACTAATAGCCGCCCCCACCCCCCCAAACAAACTCATCCTTCCCACCCTCCAGGAGACAGGCTCTTTGCATTTGCTGAGAATTGTTTATTAGTTTTAGAAGGGTCTGAGACTTTCCTCTTCCCTCTCCCGGATAACCTAAGGCTTTGGATGCATGAGGAGTGCACCCTGATCTCTGCTCTCGGGGGTATAGGCACGAGGGCACCTGTGCTGGTGAAAAGTCCTAACGTAGACACCCAACACCATGATTTGCTCCTGGTACAGTTGAACCCAGTTTCAAGGATGAAAGAGCCCCACCAGTGCAAAGTGTAATTTATAACAGCTGTGCATGCCATAAGCTTACATGGCTGCAGGCAGAGGTCCACGTCCTCATGCATTAGAGACCACTTGTGCCAGACCCCCACGCCAGTCAAATTTACTCCAGGAATGGCTTGAACCATAGTCCATGGGGGAATTTGTAGAGATGAATTTTATTTTAAGGGGTGGGGAGGAGGAAGTGGGGGATACTCATCACTGTAATTAAAGTGCATCATGGGCCACAACCATGGAAAATAAAATACAATAATCACCTACTGGAATGGGGGGCTTGGTTTGTTTTTCAAAGCAGCAGCCTCTGTGGAGGGATCCAGCCCGGAGAAGGAATCTGAAGGTGGCTCAAAGCCATCAGCAGCTACACCATCAGCACTGTAGCCCTCAACTTAGCTCCCTATTACTGAACGAGTGCACTTACACGGCTTGCTATTTTAGGTCCATTCAGCCAGACTGACGGCTTCTTTTTCATACGACGAGGAAAGCGTTTTAGGAACCTTTAAACACCATGACATCAGAAGCCACATTTGGCATCAGGCAGAATGACTGGTTTCTGTTTCTCTCAAGCGCTGCTTGTTAATGGCTTGATGAGATGAGCTAGGGTCGTCTCTTGTCCCCTCCCATCGCTCCCCCGCAGCAAGCATACCACAGGGGTGGTGTTAACATTCCTCCTCCTATTAACAGGAAGCAGGGCTGGCTACATGGCAGCTGGGAAGCAGCCTCCCAGCCCAGATGCCTACAGCATGCTTAAATCCATGTGGATGTTGTGGCTCGGGGGCAGCTAAGGCCATTTGGCCCATCCCACCTCATGGGGCTGGGCATATGGCAACATTGCAATAGCCCCCACTGCTGCTGGGGACACTGCAGCTCGAGCTTTATAAGTACAAATCCTCTACCTGGGTCCTCTACTCCCTCCCAGCTGCAGTGTCAACCTACCCTTTGCTATCATGTGGAATGCAAGGACTAGAGAGCACTGGGGCCACCATTAAAGTCAATGGCAACAGTGTCCCTGAAAATAAAGGCTTCCTGTGGAATTCAAGGACTAGAGAGCGCTGGGGCCACCATGGAAGTCAATGGCAACAGCGTCCCTGAAAATAAAGGCTTCTTGAAGGGCCTTCATCTTCCCACTCAGGTTCTGCAATGAAGGGAGCTGTTACGGCAAGAGCCGAAATGAGGGAAGTGAGACTTGCCTGCCCCTTCAACACTGGAAGAGCTCAGTAATCTCCCCTCTAAAGAGAGATTGGTGGTTTAATCAGTCCAAGTTTTGCCACTGCTCTAAGCTCCCTGGTCCTAACTAATTGGCACCCTTGGGCGACTGCCTAGCTTGCCCGTAGGGTTGCCAGATGGTTAAAAAAAGGGGGAGGTGTCAGGGAGTAGCCAGGGAAACTTGGTGGAAGGATTCGGGAGGTTGGGCCGAAATGCAGTTGTGGCCTACACCAAAGACCAGCTCTGTCGGCCGTCCCTTGAAGAGGGCAGCCCCGGCTGACCACCCGGCTTGCCTGCCCCTAAGATCAAGACCCAACTGGCTGCAGCCAATTTTGAACAGCTGATGTGGAATGCAAGGACTAGAGAGCACTGGGGCCACCATTAAAGTCAATGGCAACAGTGTCCCTGAAAATAAAGGCTTCTTGAAGGACCTTCATCATCCCACTCAGATTCTGCAATGAAGGGAGCTGTTACGGCAAGAGCCGAAATGAGGGAAGTGAGACTTGCCTGCCCCTTCAACACTGGAAGAGCTCAGTAATCTCCCCTCTAAAGAGAGATTGGTGGTTTAATCAGTCCAAGTTTTGCCACTGCTCTAAGCTCCCTGGTCCTAACTAATTGGCACCCTTGGGCGACTGCCTAGCTTGCCCGTAGGGTTGCCAGATGGTTAAAAAAAGGGGGAGGTGTCAGGGAGTAGCCAGGGAAACTTGGTGGAAGGATTCGGGAGGTTGGGCCGAAATGCAGTTGTGGCCTACACCAAAGACCAGCTCTGTCGGCCGTCCCTTGAAGAGGGCAGCCCCGGCTGACCACCCGGCTTGCCTGCCCCTAAGATCAAGACCCAACTGGCTGCAGCCAATTTTGAACAGCTGGGCTACGTCTACACTGGCATGATTTTACGGAAATGCTTTTAATGGAAAAGTTTTCCGTTAAAAGCATTTTCGGAAAAGCGCGTCTAGATTGGACTTTTACGCAAAAAAGCCCCGATCGCCATTTTAGCCATCAGGGCTTTTTTGCGCAAAACAGCCCTGTGCAGTCTACACTGGCCCTCTTGCGCGAATGATTTGCGCAAGAGGGCTTTTGCCTGAACGGGAGCAGCACAGTATTTCCGCAAGAACACTGATGATCTTACATGAGATCGTCAGTGTTCTTGTGGAAATTCAAGCAGCCAGTGTAGACAGCTGGCAAGTTTTTCCGCAAAAGCAGCTGATTTTCCAGAAAAACTTGCCAGTCTAGACACAGCCCTGGAATGTTGCACTAATCTGGTGCATTTGCTCAAGAAGGTATTATTGCAGGTTGTGCCATGGATAGGATGGTCTTAGACCTCAGAATGCTTTATACTAGGGATGTAAGTGACTAGTCAACTATCTGATAAGCATAAGCTTATGGATAGTCAACTAGTCGCTTCTCCTCCCCCCCATCTTGCTGCCTCTATCAGAAGCAGCAAGGGCAGTGGAGAGCAGGAGCCAGTTCTGGGGAGAGCGGGCTTAAAAGCCATTTCCCTCAGCCCCGTCTCCGCAGGTAGTAGGGGAAGCGGAGGGGTAGCTGATTCCCAGCTGATGCCCAGCCCCAGACACTGCATCTCTGCCAGCTCTTAATACATTTAGGAGGCAGAGCCGCAGTGGGGTTAATTCCTGGGGCCAGGAGCTAACCCCGCTGTGGCTCTGCACTCTCCCCTGCTTATCAACTAGTCGATTCTTTGATTTGACTAAATTTAACATCCCTACTTTATACCACCTCACAAGGTCCAATTGGGGGATCCAATGTGACTGACCCAGCCTGAGGAACAAAGAGTCAAGTCAGTGCTGCATGATCCATTCTTCTAGCATTAGTCGTCTGAGGGACAAAAGAGTCAAGGCAGTGCTGCATGATCCATTCTTCTAGCATTAGTCACTTATACCCTGGTCTACACTAACGAGTTATTTCATAACAAGTGGTGCATCCACACTATGAACCCTGTTAAATGTGACATAATGGGACGGTTATTTCAAAGTCTGTATTCCTGCTTTCCTTGAGGAATAAAACTTACTTTAAAATTATTTATTTTATTTCGATAGTTATTTCGATATAGCAGCAGTGTGAATGCTCTGCTGCTGCTGCTGCTGCTGCTATTTCAAAATAACTACTCCAGAGAGTAACGCAAAGTAATTACTCCCCGATGATTCCTGGGTCTCTAAATTGAGGTAGTGCATCCACAGTAATGGAACCTGCCTCTGATTAATTTCAAGGCTTCCCCCCCACCCACCAGTGGGGATATGCTCTTTGATTTTGCTATTTTATTTCAAAATAAATAAATGCAACTTGTTTCATAGTGGAGACGTGCCCTATCACCTCAGCATTGTGCTTCTTAATTCCTAATCTCAGTTTTCAACAATAAAGTGAAGTTGGATTTGAGGAATGTGGGTTACTGTCATCCACTTTAGTTCCAGAATGAGGGACCCTTGAGATTGTGTCGTGCTGTAAACCTGAGGAATGAACATACCTGGGCTGTGTCTAGACTGGCCAGTTTCCCAGAAAATCAGCCGCTTTTCTGGAAAAAGCTTGCCAGCTGTCTACACTGGCCGCTTGAATTTCCGCAAAAGCACTGACGATCTACTGTAAGAAATCAGTGCTTTTTGCAGAAATACTATGCTGCTCCCGCTTGGGCAAAAGTTTCTTTTCTGCAAAAAAGGGCCAGTGTAGACAGCTGAGATTTGTTTTGCGCAAAAAAGCCCCAATCACGAAAATGGCGATCGGGGCTTTTTTGCGGAAAAGCGCATCTAGATTGGCACGGACGCTTTTCCGCAAAAGTGCATTGTTATAACGCAAACTCTGCGCCAATCTAGACGCTCTTTTCTGAAAATGCTTTTAACAGAAAACTTTTCCGTTAAAGCATTTCCGGAAAATCATGCCAGTCTAGACGTAGCCCTGAATATTTGAATTTTACTGACTAATGCCCTCAGCTACTGGACTTGATAGAGATTGTTCAGCTGACCTGTCCCCTATCAGGGACCTTATTTTCCCCCCACTGATTTTCATCATTAGCAAGGGCACAGTCACCTCCAGTTTCCAGTGCACCGATTCCATTTGCTCTATACTTTGCTAACAAACTACATTTCATTCATGTCTAGGTTATGGGAATGAAGAACAGTTGAAAGCTAGATTAATGGTGCCCTCTGCTGGCTACAGAGGACAACTAAAATCCCCAATAGTCTTTTGCCTGGCATTGGAAAGGGTCACACACTGGTGTGAACAATGCATGAAGCTAGGCAGCAGCCTTTCACAGCTGAAATAGCTGACACTGGATTAACTCAACAAGAGCAATTTCCTCCAGGATCTCAGTTTGTATCCTAATTATATCCACCATTAAGAACATCACAATCCTGCCAATTATACAATAAAATGAGCCAAATTCTGAATTGAAGCTGGTTCCCTCCTCAAAATGGATTTAAAAGGCTTTTGAGGTTTAAAACATTCCCTTTTCAGGTTAGTACAAGTGTTTAAACTGGGCCCAATCCACAGGTTAATTAACAATGCATGTTAATGCCATTATGGGTTTGTAATGGAAATGCAGACACCCTTGTAAGTACAAAAGGTCACACTTATTCTGTGGTAGCCCTGAACTCTCAACACCCCAACCAGCTCCACTGATTAGCTTCCAGAGAAAAAGGATTTTTGCATTTCAAATCTCAGTTCTGCATAGTGAAATAATAGCCCCTTCCTTTGCACCAGACAGCTTAATTGGGTCACCTAGATAGAGCCAAGGCCTATTAGGTGCACAGAAACATGGAACCAGACAAAGGCTGTAAGTGACAAGGCAAAGGATACAGCTGATATGCTTAAGAGGAGGAAGATAAGGCTTGAGTGAAATAATACAAAATAGTGTGGTTCTGCTTACACCTTAAAAGAGAGACAGAACGTTTTTGCTGGAGACTTTTGATGCCCCAGACAGGGGAGCTCAGTTTTGGGAGCTACTCTGAAAGATAGCTAGAGATCACTTGATTGCCCACAATTTGCTACTGGAGTAAGAGGGCTAGTAGACCACATAACCCTACCATCTGATGATACACGCAGGGTCTTGGATCCCAGCCTTGATGGAATGTTGCACTAAAAGCACTTTGTTTTTCCACAGAGTGGGCCTATAGTCTTAAAAGTAAGAGAAAATGCTTTTATTCCAAAATGTAAAATATAAATCTCCAAACTTAGCAAATCATTTTTTCCAAACCCATGAATAAGTAACACTCTGCAGGCAAATGTTCTTATGTCTCTGCCAAGATCTAACAGTTGGTTAAGAATAAAAATCACAATTCCAGACAAGTATCATCAGTTTTTGAGTGAAAGAAGTTACCATTCCTCCTGTTAATGGAGGACTTTGAGATGAATTTTTCCATAGTCCTCACAGGCAGGGAAGAAGCCCTGCAGGACACTTCTAGGAAGAGGTCCAGTAACCCAGACTGCTAGCAAGACTAGGAACGTCATTTCCCGTGAGATATCCTCATGCAGCACCTTCTGGGAAGGAGAAGGAGCTGCCATCTGTGGAGGAGGGCAGAGATGGGAAATTCTGCAAAGACAGAAGAGCTTTCACAGTCTGAGCTTTGTGAGGATACAACCCTCCATTTAACTTATCTGGTCCTTTCCCTTCCCCCATGCAGTTGGAGACCTGTTCAGAAAAGAACTTTGATTCTTCCGTGGAGTCCTAGGCTTAAAGGCATCCTGGCTGCAAGGGCCCTCTCCAAGAGGAATTGGATGACCAAGCCAGATCAGAACAATGATTAGAAGCTTTGTAGATTCCTTCAGTGTAGGGTTTATACCAGAAAAACATTTCTAGACAGCTACCCAATCCCCAACCAGTGAAAAGTTACAAGGTCTCAGACTTCAACAATCTGGTCCCGCTATGAGTGTCAGGGACTGGATTTGATGACCTCTAGAAGTCCCTTCCAATTCTATGCTTCTATAAATGTAGTGCTCTTCTCACCTAGTGCCGAAGCAATAGAATTTCCCTTTCCAGAATAAAAGCTTTCCAAGTTTAGAGAAGAAGAGAGGCATTCTCCCCCGCTCCTGTTTCCAGCATGTCCAGTAGCTCAGGTCCCCCTGAGAGCTACAACTCAGTGAAAAGTCAAGGCCAGGGGGTTGTCAGCTGTAGTGCTGGGTTTACAATGGTGCTGGTGGCGCTAGGGAGCCAGGCCCAAAAGGGATGTTAGCCTGCTACACTTGCACTGCACCCTTCCGGCTTCACCTTCCCATCACCTGCTCCTCTCAGCCTGACCACTCACTGGCCAAAGGCTCCTCTGTCCCCTCTTATTGGGGCCAGTCCCCCATGCACCTCTCGCTCTGGGCAGTCACTGCTTCCTACCACTCGTGGGGCCCTATGTCTCCCCGGAGCAGAGCAGCCTGGGATGGTACAGAAGCCTGGTAAGTCTCAGCCAGGTGTGGGGGAGGGAGGGACAGTTATGGGAGGCTTGGCTGGATTAGAATGCTGGGCCCCTCCAGGCAAGCGGGTTATGAGGCAACCTACCAGGCAAGCAGGTTCCAGGGCCAGTGAGCATGGCCAGGAGGCAGGGCATGGGGGAGTGGGTTTCTAAGGCCGTCTGGGCTGTGAAGTGGCAGGGAAGGTGTTGGGGGCACTAGGGAGGTTGGGTATTTGAGATAGGGATGTGGGCCTGGGCAGGGATGAGATGCTGCAGGATGCTGTGCATTTCTGGGGGGAAGCTTAGTGGGTCTGTGGGTGCTGGCCTTAGGGAGTTGGAGGGTAGGGTTGGATGGAGCCAGCTTGTTGGTGTCGTTTGGGCCCATCCATGAGGGGAAGGAAGGGACATGCCACCAGCACAGGGCTGAGCAGGCCACTGTGCATCTGGCCACTGGCAGTTTGTGATGAGTGCCCTCACACTGGGCTGGGCTGAGCGGGGCTGTCCTTGCCTTGCCATGCCCCATTACCCCTGGCTGGGCCTTCACTCTAGGGACTGACCTCCCCACTCTATTGTCCCCATGTAGGCCCACAAGTATGTCTGGCACTGGGCACACAAGAGGTTAATCTGGCCCTGGTTAACTGGTGCACAGAGTCAGTGCACAAGTTCAGACCACAAATACTTACGCTGCTTTTATAAACACAAGAATGGCCACACCAGGTCAAACCAAAGGGCCATCTAGCCCAGCGTCCTGTCTGTTGACAGCGGCCAGTGCTAGGTGCCCCAGAGGGAACGAACAGAACAGGGAATCGCTAAGTGATCCCTCCCCGGTCTGACACCATTCCTACCCATCCTGGCTAATTAATAATAAAGCACAACCAAGACCCTTCAATCCAAGTCCATTCTCCATGAGCCATTTGAACAAAATGATTCTATGCGCCCCCTTCCCCCACCTGCACTTACCTCATGGCTCAGGACATGAAAGTCCTCACACTTCCCCTGATGACTGCCCTGCAGATGGGGCACCGTCTCAGACTAGGGGCACACTCCGCACACACCACCAGGTGGCCACAAGGGACAAAGACAATGGACACATCTTTGTCCATGCACACTTTGCACATCCTTTCCTCCTGCAACCGGCGCAGCTGCTCCTCAGTACTCTGTGGAAGCTCTGCGGGACGAGACACCCCCAGGTTGTGTTAGAGTAGGGTTATCGGAACACTTTCTTGAACTATGGCCTGGAAAGACCCTTTCAAGAGCTGGTCTGAGAGCCATCATTTTCCCTCTACTGCTCGAAAGCTGGGACCGTGATAATGGTCAGGACAAACCTGTGCTATTTGACACAAAGGCCCCTCAGAGGATCCCACCACCTGCGGAAAGCACAGCAAGGAGACACTTTAGTGGTCCCCTTATTTAGTGAACAGGCTACAAAAGTAGCCACTACCCTATGTGGCAGGATAGAGCAAGGGACTCTGATCAAGTTCTCTGCTCATTAGACTATTCTGCACAGAGAAATGGCCATTTTGTGTCTTAGATAAGCAAGATGAAGCTCCCTGTTGTAGACTCAATGGGGCTCTAAGGGACCCCTCCACCACCCTTCTGCACTGTGGCAGGATTGATTTAATTATTCTATAACTGTTCCTGTAGATGGGTATTTAGCCTCGAATAACTCCAACAACAGTGATTGCACAACACCCTTTGGCAGCTTATCCCGTCGTCTAACAGTTCTTCTACAGTTTTGCCTAATATTTAACCTAAAAACTTCCCTCCTGCTTCAGCCAATTATTATTTGTCCTATCCTCAGTGACTAATGAGAATAATTGATCCTTGTCCTCTTTAAAACATTCCTTTATGTTTCCTGTTATGTCCTCCACGCACACTTGTCTTTTCTTTAGGTGAAAGATGCCACGGGTACAATGATGGTTACAGGAGTCAGAGTAAGGGAAGTTGAAGGAAGAGTGCTCCATTTCAAAATAAGAGCTGTGTAGATGCCCAATTTCAAAATAAGATACGCAATGGATATAGCTCAATTTGCGTAGCTTATTTAATCCACGGTAAGTACTCTTCTGAATGTTTCTTGTCCAATATAAAGTAGACTCGGTTCCCTGAACACGGCCTGGAGGCGCTACCACATTGCAAAATAATTTCCCCTTGCTCAGAATGTAACTGTTACACAGGAGGCAATGGGCATAGTTATTTCCTGCTGTATAGGCTGATGGGGTCCTGCTCAGGAAGATATCACCTCACCTGATTCTTTTGAGCTCTCAGCCTGTGCCTCTTGTCTCGGCCCTGGCACATCTGGCTGCCTCGGTGTGCTCTCTGTAGAAAAATTCAGAAGGAAGAGAGATGCTATGGATACTCCCATGCTAAAAAGGACTGAAAACAAAAGCGGGCTCCTTGCTGGTATTTCAAATCATGTTCGTTCAAGTGTTATGCTGCTGAATGAGACCGGTTCTCTTTAGGAGGCTGCCAACTCAGCCAGGAATCAGACAAAGCTGGGTTTTGAGTCTCCTACCACAGAGGCTTGTTCATGAGCCATAAATCCAGTCCATCCCCAAACAAGGCCACATAAAATTCTGATTAGGTTTCTCTAAAACAATCATTTCTATTTTGGGTCAGAAAGATAGCAACCAGGACAGAAAGGAGGCTTGTCAAGTAGAATTTGTTCTTTCCTACGTAGGGGGTACTAAACCTAGAAGTCTTCCTTTGACAACTGTCTGCATCCTCATGACTTAAGCCAGAAGCCACATTACTAGCACATTTCTAACCCCTTTCCATTCAACGGCTCCTTGAATCAGACAGATGGAATGGCTTTCGTCAGCCAGTTTCAACAGCAGGCACATAAAAGGAATCTATTTCTGGATTTGTTGCAATGCCAGCACTGGGCGAATGCTTAAGTCTGGATGTAGCACCAGAGCTTTCAAGCCACGATGCAATAGAGAAATACTGAAATGCAGCTCTGCTCCAGGCTCAGGGAACTGATATTCCAAGGAGTGCAGATTCTGTAGGCCCCCCCATGACTGAACCACTTTCCCCTGCATCACAGGGCTCTGAAGTCAAGGAAGCACTACTATGTTTCCTTCCAGTCTAGAAAGACAGCGTAGACCCAAGAGATAGCATCACTGAAATGCTAGAACTTCCGTAACCAGAAGAGATGGGATGAGATTCAAAGGACTAAACTGTCATACCTCTTTCACCTGCACTGCTGCTCTCCGCCCCATCTACCTGAAGCAGATCCAAGACCAGTTCGGACACCGATAAGTAGCAGGTGCCAGTCAGCAGGCGTTTACTCTGGACCAAGCTCATCACCAAACTCTGGTCAAAGCCCATCTGAAGGACATCCTGCACTAGGGAAGACTGATCCAGAGGAGAGGACATGTCCCGATTCCCCACAGGATCTGTAAAGCACAGCAAGGAGACACTTTAGTGGTCCCCTTATTTAGTGAACAGGCTACAAAAGTAGCCACTACCCTATGTGGCAGGGTAGAGCAAGGGACTCTGATCAAGTTCTCTGCTCATTAGACTATTCTGCACAGAGAAATGGCCATTTTGTGTTCTAGACTTAGATAAGCAAGATGAAGCTCCCTGTTTCATGAGGAAAGGCTTCTGAAATTTATATTTCCATAACAGCAATAAGCCAATATTTTTTGTTTTAAATGTATAGCCATTTGAATGCTACAATGTCTATATCCAATACCTCATTCCTTCTCCTAGCCAGTGCTGCAGACCCATAAGTGGTCCTGGAATAAAGGATGAAATCCTGGCCCTATTGAAGTCACTAAGGGAACGTCTACACTGCAACGCTATTGCGAAATAACTAGTGCTAATCTGAAATAACTTAATCCGTGTCTACAGCAGGCAGTTATTTTGAAATAGTGCCAAAATACTGTCAAGCTGGAGGACTTCTTACTCCTTGTACAATGATGGTTACAGGAGTCAGAGTAAGGGAAGTTGAAGGAAGAGTGCTCCATTTCAAAATAAGAGCTGTGTAGATGCCCAATTTCAAAATAAGATACGCAATGGATATAGCTCAATTTGCGTAGCTTATTTTGAGTTAAGCCCTGCACCCTAGGAGAATTGCAATTAACTTTACTGAAGTCAGGATTTTACCCTAAGCATCTCAGGTGCTCAGACCGAACTTTCACTCAAATTACCATTAAACAGAATTTACAAAAAGCATGGAAGGAATATTAACCTGCATACTTCAGATGCTGATAGTGGGAAGGAACAAAAAGCAGGTCCCTATAGATCAGCTAGGTCCCTTCAGCTACATCTAAAGCAGCTGGTCTAATCCATCAGAGAGGACATTGCATTAGCACAATCAGCTCTGGCATGACAATTCCTAGCTTTCAGACAGTTACTCCTTTTTGCCATTAGGCAAGAGCTCTATTTTCACTGGCTTTTTGTTTTTTTTAATAAAACTGATTAAAAACAGCATTTCACATACTAAAACAGACGACTCTGAACAAAAAGGCTGGGGGAAGGGGGCGGGGGGGAAGAGGAGAAATTAGCAGGAAATCTCCCCCTATGATCCAATCCATCCCATTCAAGAAAGGGCCTTCCATGTGATTCTGAAACAAGCAGTCCCATCCTAAAGGGCAGGCTCTCCAAGGCTATGTCTATGCAGCAGCGTTATTTTGGAATAACGCAGTCCGTGTCTACACACAAGCAGTTATTCTGACGATGTTGAGCTGGAGGACTGCTTTCTCCAACTCCTGTAACCTTCATTGTATGAGGAGTAAGGGAAGTCGGGGAGGGGCAGGGGAGAAGAGGGCATTCTCTCAAAATAACTGCTGTGTAGACAGCACCAAAAAAGTCAAAATAAACTATTTCAATTTAAGTTACACAATTAGCATAGCTTGAGTTGTGTAGCTTATTTCAAGTTCAGCCCTGCTGTGTAGATGTGCCCCAAAGGTCCTCCTTGTGAGACAGGCAGATTGAACAGCTGCACTCTTCTTAATAGAAGGCCCCATCCTTGAGTTGGAACAGTATGAAATTCACATTGCAGCTACTTAACAGTTGGCTTCAGTTTCTCTGCTAAATCCTACCCAGAACCACTCGTAGACAATTGTAAATGAGTTACGTCCCCAAGTGCCTTTCATTCTCAGTTAAGGGTTTAATGTATCCTCTTAGACTTCAAACCCACTGGCATATCCTTACCAAGAGCAGCTCACATTAATTTTGTGCAAGATTAAAGGGATTGGAGTTGTTCCAGTTACTCAGCAGTTTAGTCCCTAATGTTTTCTGAATCTTTAAGAGGTTACTTTCTGCAGTTTGGCAATACCTGGATACATTTATCTAATTGGAGGGCTTTTCCAGAAGAACTGCAGTTCTGTCTCCTCCTTCCTAAATACATGAGAGGATGTTCCCTGTGACCTACGTCCTGTAACCCTTCTTATGCATGTCCATTTTGAGGCATATTTTACTCCCAGATGAAGATCACAAGGAAATAGAGTAACAAGCATGTGCATAATACTTTTATAACAAAAAAGGAGCTGATCTTTCAGTAAATTGTGTGCAAAATAGAATGTGAACACTTCATGACAAGCAGGACACCAGAGATCTAGGAACCACAGAGCAGTCAGCTTCCCTAATAAATAAATATTGCCTATCTCCTAGAACTGGAAGGGACCTTGAAAGGTCATTGAGTCCAGTCCCCTGCCTTCACAGCAGGACCAAGTACCATTCCTGACAAATTTTTGCACCAAATCCCTAAAGTGGCCTCTAGAAGGATTGAACTCACAACCCTGGGTTTAGCAGGCCAATGCTCAAACCACTGAGCTATCCCTTCCCCCTCAGAAAGCTGACTACACAATTTAAAGCACTTGTTTCATATCTAGCTTAGCTAAAGAAGTCCAGTTTCACGCCACATCTTCATAACAGTTTGAAAGAGCACATGCGAAAAGGTAGAATGAAAAGTCACGAGTGCTGCATTAGAATGCCCCTGGAGGTACCTCAAAGTTAGTTTAAAACAAGACTGACAGTTAATATCAAGTACCACAGTGGTGGGTATTCCATTGCCTGCTACACACTGATATGGAAACTGTTTGCTCTACAAGGCAGGGCTGCAACTCCCCGGCTTGAGTACATATCCTTGTCACAGCTCAAGGAAAGCGACTGCAAGTGTAAGTGATAGTCCAGCTGCAGTAGCATGGATAGCAGCAGACACAGCTGGGCTGTGCTAAGTACATACCCACCTGTTTCAGATGGCTTGGTACTCAGCATCTCATACCCATGCCTCTGATGTATGTGTTCTAGTCCTCACATGGTGAATGAACGTATGTTCACATGGGCTGGGGAAAATCACCCCTCACTGTAGAGTTACATCATTTCAGATTCATGGAGAAACCCGGGAATCTCTTATTCAAGGTCTCAACTCCTGCAGAGGGTGTGGAAGAGCCTGAATTTGATCCCTTTTCCTTCCCAAGCGTGAGCTTCGGATACACTTCTTTCTGGCCTCACCCACCACCTGCCTTCATTATCTTCTCCACAGAAACCAGGTGTCACAAAGACAGGCCTATAGAAAATCCTGTCTGCTTAGCGCACCCATGGCAAAGCATACAGTAATTCCTCATTTAACACATTTTCACAATAGCATGATTTTTTTTTTTTTTTGACTTTTTTTTGAATTACACGTGGGGAAAATCACCCCTCACTGTAGAGTTACATCATTTCAGATTCATGGAGAAACCCGGGAATCTCTTATTCAAGGTCTCAACTCCTGCAGAGGGTGTGGAAGAGCCTGAATTTGATCCCTTTTCCTTCCCAAGCGTGAGCTTCGGATACACTTCTTTCTGGCCTCACCCACCACCTGCCTTCATTATCTTCTCCACAGAAACCAGGTGTCACAAAGACAGGCCTATAGAAAATCCTGTCTGCTTAGCGCACCCATGGCAAAGCATACAGTAATTCCTCATTTAACACATTTTCACAATAGCATGATTTTTTTTTTTTTTTGGAACTTTTTTTTGAATTACACGACCATCCCCGGAATAACACGATTTCCCCAGCCGGCCCGTTGCTGGCAGCTGCCCAGGGCTTCCCCTGTCTCTCTGCAAAGTGACAGAGGGTTCGCTGCACCATTCCCCGCTGACTCCCCCTCGCCGGACTCGCCGTTCCCCACTGACTCCCCCTTCTGCCCCTTCTCCTCCGCCCCAGCTTGCAGGCCGATGGCTGGGTTTCCCCAGCCGGCCTGTTGCCAGTGGCTGCGGGGGGGTTCCCCCACTTCCCTGCAAAGTGACGGAGGGTTCAGCGCTCGCTGAGCCATTCCCCACTGACCCCCGCCCTCCCCTGCCGGATGCAGTGCAGATCCCGACAGACCCGCCACAGGGGCATACTCCCAACTTAGCCTCCCCTCCCCCGTTCTCCCCTTCCCTTTCCCAGAGCCAAACACCTCCCCTCCCTGCTGTAACCCAGTCCCTTTTCTCCCCCAATCTTATGTCCCAGAACCAAGAGACAACACCACTTGAAATGCAACCCTCCACCTTTTCCATTATTTTCAATGGGAAAAATTGACTCCGCATAACATGTTTTCACTTAACACAATCTTTTTCTGAAACATATCTATAGTGTTAAATTAGGAATTACTGTATATGACTGAGACAATCAGTGGAAAAATCCCCACAAAGAGCCTGTTCTAACCTAATCTCACATTTACATGCTGCTACCACTACTCCCAAAGCCTGTAAAAAGGTAGCTTTCTTCCCTTACTCAAAGCTTAGAAACGCAGTAAATTTATATCCCCAACTTCCAAAGGTCTGTATTGAGGATCTAGCCACAAGCACAATTGCCAGAAACAGCTGGCTTTAAGAACTCTCCCCCCTTCTCAATCAACCTCAAAAGGCACAGAACCACCACTGGCAAGCTCTCCTATTGGCAGATCTACTTTTAAGTGTTAATTGCAGGTGCTGAGGACACAGGCAATAGGAGCCTGAAGAAATGGAGTTGAGCACCCAAGATTCTGAATGCTAACTAGGTATCTGGTGTCTGTATAATTGGGCTTAGTCATTTGGTTGCTTAGGTAACAAGCCTTAACTGATTCTAGTTCACTGGCCATTCTGACAAGTTAAGAATAGTTTGGGGCAATATGAAATGTTTTGTAGGAAAACAAAATTTCATCAAATTTAAGTAACTGGAATAATAATAAAAAAAAATCAAAACATTAACACAAGTATCATAATTAAGTGTTCCAATTTTTTTTTCCTTCAAAGTGAGAGAGGTTCCTGCCCCTGAATTTACCAAATGGTCTTGGTTTAAACACGTTTGCTAGATGTTTTGACCAACCTGGATCTGTATTTTTTGGCAAAATAAGTTTGGCTGAAAAGTCTCATGCCGCTTTAGCGGGCACTTCCACCAGCAAAGGTCACCTTTGTTTCAGGTCCCAGGGGAAGTTTCCTTAAGAACTCTGGAAGCGGTTTCACACATCAAAAATGCAAGCATCTCAGAAAGGGGTTCAGCCTGCAAACACTAGACTATGCAGAAGGCCAGAGTAAAGCCACAGCACTTTCATAAAAACCCCAACACAAAAATAAAACATGCATCTCCACACAAACCTTGAGGTGCAGGGGGATTTTGTTCAGCCTGTTGCCAGGAGGCACCCTGAAAACATCATAAGACAAAACAATCACACAAGGGAAGGAACTCCTTAAACCTCCCCCTCCACTGCACCAAAAGAGGCATAAAATTCACTGACTACCGGAGAGTTGTAGTAGGCATCCTGAACGCGGCTCACAAATTCTCTGCCCCTTGACCGCAGCAGAAACTCACATCTGTGGAGAAAGACAAATACACGGTGAGGGACAGTGGAACTGGTGTGGAATTCGACATCACGAGGATGCTAACCAGGCTCCCCAATGATGCAGCTTGTATCTAGCAACATATTTGTACAAAGCATAAATGGCATCTTTGCCACAGTAGGCAGTCCCTCCCTGTTGGGCAAAACCCTTCCTGTTCCAAATAGAAAGGATGGTGATTTGAGGCTCCTGCTATGGAGAAAGTCAGATCAGACCACATTCTAGACGTTTGTGATTGGCTTCGGCCAAAGAGCTTCTCAGATACCTGGAGCACAGGGGAAATGGGTCTAGTGGCCTCTTGTCTAAGAGCCTCCATGCCAGGACTAAGTGTACAATACCCAGGGCTGTCCTTGCCCATAGGCAGGCTATGCACCTGCATCGGGCACCCAAAAGTCTAAGACCTAGTGGTGCCCCAGTGTCTCACCTGCCTCTTCCTAGCCCTGTTCTGTGGCTCTGCTTCCAATGGAGGGGAATCTAGTAACTTAAAAGTGAGAAAGCCTGTTACGAACAGAACACTGACCCTGTGAAAGCGACTCAAGTGGTCATGAAGCCATTTAGCAAGCATTTGCTATTTGCGGTCAGATTGTCACTTTAAAAATAAGGCCCTGTAGACTAGCACAGTAAAACAAATTTAAAATTTTATTAGTGTTGAAGATTATAAAAAAAGTTACATCTCTTAAAAAACCTCAACCCCTCTCCTCTCCTCTCAGCTGCCGTCAGCTTAATAGTACTGTGTATGGCCCTATAAATCCAAAAGACGTCCCTGACAACATCCTACTATTTACACAGGAAGGCCAATCCCAGCGGAAAGCACGTGCTGCTCCAATACCAGTAAGAGACAAGGGCAGTGTTAAAATCTTTAGGAATCAATGGTAGAGATTGATTCACCATAGGCAAAACTACAGAAGCAGAGTTCTGAGCTTTGCAGGTCAGGCTTGGTTTTGGTTGGGAAAAAAAAAAAAGCATTAGATTTGTAGACACACATGCTGTGTGTTTATGTAAGGCCAAGCCCTGTCTCTCTCCATTTGGTTGGGACCTCTCAGATCTAACATAAGGGTATCAAAAAAACACCACCATCACCACCTCCTACTCCTCCTGAGTGGGGGGAGAGAAGACTGCAACACTAACACAGCTTGTTAAATTGGGATCTGCTGGGATAGGTCTCAGGAATTACCAAGAGACTGAAACTCACTGTTGTTCCTGCTTTGACTACAAGCTGGTGTTTCTTAAAATTTATTGTGGAAATTGCAATCTGGTGGCTTATAGCCTTTCATGTAGGCTTACCAGATAGCAGCACTTATCAGACAGTGATCTGGCTGTATTTGAACGGATAACAGATTACTATGTAGCATTATCTAATTAAACCTCACCTGGGATAGGAGGTGTGTCTGTGTAGCAAGGCTCATTCAGTAAAACATGGACTAATGATTTGTAGGCCAGCCAGAGTGAGTATTAGTATATTGTAAGTTACCTTGGAAACCATTTGGCATGTTCCCTCCAGGGGTCATCTCCAAGCTCCCAGTTCCTCAAGCTGCCATCACAGTAAAAACACCTCACAGTGTCTCCTTGACCTGAAAAGTGCATTAAGAGACGACCGGATGTCAGGTATGAGCAGCTAGTTATACTAACCCAGGGGCAATTTGATGCCACTATGAGGAGAGCTGGTGGAAGTGCAGGATATTTACTCGTTACCATAACTGGATACCATACAACACATCCCATGATGCCTCTGTCCCTGTTCAGAGACAGGGAGTCAGGTCAGAGCACCAATTCCAAATTAGTGCAATGTAGGCAAGCCAGCTAGAACTCTGTTATTAGGGTTCCAGTGTTGGGTCAATGGATTCTCTGTACATCCCCTTTGTGGGCTCCCAAGTATGCCATAGGGCCACTCCCACTGCACACACTCCATTTCTTCAGCCAGCCAAGTGCTACCCCACAGGAGACCACCAACTTGAAGGCCAGTGAAATGGGTGCTCACCATACTCCCTAGCAATAGCAGTCCTCATTATAGAGGTCCCAAGCCATCCAGTCCAGGGAAGAAATAAAAATTCTGTGGGTTGACCGTTAGCTTTATTCAAAACCATGCACTGTAGCAGGCATGCTATCTAGGAAGCTGTACCTTCCCAGTCAGCAAGTTACATGTGGACCCCACTAAGAATTACTGGAAGGTCTATCCACCTGCAGACATAGGACCCTTTAAAGATTTTCAATACAGCTGGTCCAAATCTGGGCTTTCAGAATCTTTGAATGCTCTAAAACAAGGGAACTCTTTGGATCAGCTAGACTGGCGACGCTCTGGAATTAACCAGCCCAGTGACCTCTGGATTTGCCATGCTGTTGGATTGTTTTCCTGATGGATCCCCATTCTCAGTATTATGTTTTCAACAGCTGGTCTGCAGGTAGAAAAAATTCCAAAGCAAATCTGACAAAAGGATTCTAGCTGCAACCTCTCCTTTCTGGCTCATTCTGGTTTCCTGAACTGGCTGTTCTTTTGTCTTTTTTTTTTTTTTTTAATTAAAGTAACTTAGAGCCCAAACATGGGGAAAAAAAAAAATATCGCAAGGCATTTCAGCTCAACTGAAACAAGAGCCCAAACATGGAAAAAAGATATCGCAAGGCATTTCAGCTCAACTGAAACAGGTATGTGTATTCCCAGCCCTATTTACAGTCAAGGTAGAGTTTATTTATTTATTTTTTAACCGGAGCTACAGCAAAACCCAATTCATGTGATTTTGGTAAGACTCTCAGGCAATACATATGCACGGGAGCTAACCAGTCCTTTCAGCTAACAGTCATGTAATGAATGCAGGGCATCATCCAGATAGCCTTGCTGTCACAGCGAGCTTTGGGATAGAAATTGCTCTCACCCCCATTTTATTAAGGCAGACTCTTGTGCAGGAAGCCTTTTTTGGGCTGGGGGCCACTGACCCACAGAAAGAGCCAGACTCTCACCGATATGCCCCCCCCCCCCACCCGAAAAAAAA